CCCTAACAGCCTCAACCCCCCTTCCGGGCATAGCAAACAAACCAATCTATACCCGAATACGTGATAGAAAGCTCAGCGTTGAGAAAACTCAACTTTGGCGGTGGGACTTCACCCCTGGACCCTAACAGCCTCAACCCCCCTTCCGGGCATAGCAAACAAACCAATCTATACCCGAATCCGGGCTCCACATGAATAAACGAAAGTCCCTGGCTGCGCCACCACGCTCGGCGTGGTCTAACAGTGGAAACGATTAGCGACTTCAAGGGTGGGTGATTAGTGCGGGGTCGAACGACACTTCCTTAAAAAACAGCAATTTCCAAGTATCGAACGAGGCGCTTAGCTACTCTCCTTTGCGCGTCACACTGTAGTTTGCTGCAACTTCGGCCGGGGAAAGCGCGAGGGCGTTGCACAGTGGCGGGAAAGGGGTTCCGCACACAGACACAGGAGTTGTGCACACACACACATCCCCGCGGGCATTTACTCTCGCCGATACACATCAGCGCGTGCACACACTCGCAGAGGCACACCCCCACGCATGCACATACGCCCAGACGCACACAGGCGCGCATGCACACTCAAACTAATACGAGGACGACGGTGGACGACCGTGACGAAGAGAACGACTGTGGTGGCCACGAGGGTGAGGTCTTTTTTTCTTTCTCTTTTTGTCCTAATCGACGGTGACGAACGGTAATGATGAGGAGGACGGGGGTATGTCGGAGGAGGGTACGACGGAGGAGGAGGAGGCTATGACGAAGGCGCTGGAGGCGGCGGCGGCGACTACGATGGAGGAGGAGGGGAGGCTACGATGAACGAGGAGGAGGACGACGACGCCACGGTGGAGGAGGAATCGGAGAAGGCTACACTGGAGGAGAAGGACGATGAGCAGGAGGAGGCTAGGAGGATACGTTGGATGAGGAGGTGGCGGCTACGATGAAGGAGGAGGAGAAACAGAAGGGGCATGGCGTTACGCCACAGGACGACTCGGGGGTGGCGTAGACTGGTGGACGAGGGGGGGCGAGTAGGAGTGGTTCACATGGGATCATTCGCTTAGTTAATCAAGCAATCAATAATTGATCAGCCGATCAATGAAAAAATCGGTCAATCAATCAAGAAATCAATCAGCACATCGATCAATCAATGATCAGTTTCAGGTTTCTTCGACGCACGGCCCGATGTTCATCATGGTCGTCATCGGTATCGATGAAATGGCACTACCAGCTGCCCTACCTCAGTTCTACATGAATGAAATGTCGGAATTGCATGGGCCCGGTCATGGCATCACCACTTCGTCTGCAAGAATAGTGGAAACAGTGGCCAACTGCCTTTCGTACACGCTTCCAAAGCTCTTCAATACATATAGCCGCGCGTACTCATCTCAGCTCACGCGCACAATCCCCGATGCGTTTCGATCGGTTGCGCTCCGATCCTCCTCAGGGGCCTAACCTCATGACCCTGCCTTGCGGCCCGCCGACAATCCTCCCGTCGTACTGAGTATAGATGAGAAACAAGAGAAGGAAAGCAATTTGATCAAGCTGACCATTGCATGGTGGCGCAGGAGGAGGACGAGGAGAAGGACGGCCTCATTTTGATCACAGTGAAGTCGTTAATCCCGC